TTGTCATTCTCAAATTGATTCTAATTCGATTCTTTCATATTTTTTCCTTATCATACTCAGGTCTATCTTGAAAACTTGTTCATTAATCGATCTCATCACCTAGTCATTGAGAGTTTTGATCTCTATCTTTTCATTCCCACATTTGGAATGAATCCAACGGACTATAATGTTCTGTGACAATTATAATTTACAATCCGTGTAACTTTAACCAAAAGTTACAAGCTGTTTCCAGAATGTTCCACGGTTCTCTTGTATATCTTTTCCTGGGCAGTCGATCTTATTCTGTTCTCTAGCCCACACATTCTTAAATTACACATGACACTATATGCCAATCTATAAAATCTAGACCCACCTAAATTCCATAGCCAATTTTCACAAACAAGTAAAGGGATCAATATTTTGTTGCTATATTTGTTCAAGATTTTCTGTAAAAAAAAAAAATACTTGAGAAGGGTAAAAGAAAAGTTTTGGCAAAGTGAAGAAGAGAAAGAGAATCGAGGAAGGGGAGATGGGGGTGGACTATTACAAGATTCTGCAGGTGGATAAAAGTGCGAAAGATGATGACTTGAAGAAGGCTTATAGAAAGCTTGCTATGAAATGGCACCCCGATAAGAATCCCAATAATAAGAAGGAAGCGGAAGCCAAGTTTAAGCAGATTTCTGAGGCCTATGATGTAAGTTCTGTTTTATTTCAGATTTTACTAATTGACGTGGGTTCATGATTTGAGCCAATTTGGTAAATTAGGGTTATGGTTATCTGTCAGATTCCAAAAATTGAATCTTTTTAGGTTTTTCTCGTAATCTTCACTGTTAGAGTTGTGTGATGATTAAGGGGATGCAAAACATATAAATTGATTATTGTTTTTCTACTAGGTGCTAAGCGATCCTCAGAAAAGAGCAATATATGATCAGTATGGTGAAGAGGGGCTGAAGGGGCAGGTGCCACCGCCAGACGCTGGTGGCGCTGGAGGTCCCACCTTCTTCTCCACAGGAGGTGGACCGACATCTTTCCGATTCAATACCAGAAATGCTGATGATATATTTAATGAGTTTTTCGGATTTTCAAGCCCCTTTGGAGGAATGGGAGGTGGTGGTAGTGGAATGAGGAGTTCTAGGTTTGGTGGCATGTTTGATGATAATATGTTTGCATCTTATGGCGAAGGAGGTGGTGGTGGATATCAATCAGCACTGCGAAAAGGAGCTCCAATTGAGCAGAAGTTGCCTTGTACACTTGAAGAGCTCTATAAGGGAACTACAAAGAAGATGAAAATTTCAAGAGAAATCCTGGATGCTAGTGGGTAAGTGCCCTTCTTTAACTCTTTGTAAATTATCTAATGATTGCGTAATTATTATTCTTTTACTTGGATTGTGTACCTTTTTTGTGGATCGTTCATTGTTTATCATATTGAGATTTTTGCCCATTTGGTACGGTTGCATTATGTACTTCTTGTCTTCATTAATGAAGCTTCTTATGAGATGCAAATCATAGAATAACAACTAGATAAGTTTGGTCTAATATGACAGGATGAATAATGCTGGCTGCCTTTTCTTCTGATTAAGGATTGAATATGATTTCTCTTCATTTGTTAGGAGAATAAGATCAGAGTTCAATTCCTTATGGTGTCTATGTAGATATTCATGTTTGACGAGTAACGGTCTCATATTTTGGTCTTGAACAAAGTTCGTAGTTACATGTCTTCTGAAAGTTTGATGAAAATAACCGTGATAATTATTATATCTTGTTTTAGTAATTCTTCTTCCAGTTCATGGATGTCGAGTCAAAGGGTACTTATGTAAATCTAAAATGACATCAAATAATTTGGACACATTATTAGCAATTAGGGTAGACTTTAATATTCTGCATTATTGATATTTTTGCACGTTTTTTATTTATTGTAGTAATTTTTCATTGATATAAATCAGCTTTATCTGTGGCTTCTCAAATACGAACAGTTTTTATTTCATGCTACTGTTTTTGTGTTTGTACTTAAATAGTTATATAACAAGCACTCTTGAAAAGTAAATGTTGCTAGAATGTTAATGCAAGAAAGAATTAGAATTAATTATTACTTGCTATTACTCTCCAATAATTTGGATCATGGCTTGTCACTTGTCTCCCCACGAATATTTCCTTCATATCTACTTCTACGCTCTGTATTGGTGTAACTTCATTAGTAAGCCTTTGGATTTTGTCCATTAACGACTTTATCGTATTTTGGGTTGCATTAATTGTTTTGAAGGCTTTTGACTTTGGATGAAGATATACATTTTTGAGGGCGGTGGTTGGGTGGATGGAAGAGGGGTAGAATTTTTCATTAGATTTAGGCTCGATTGGACAATGGTGAGAAAAAGGGCCAGTACCATCATCTGGGTTCAGTTAAATGTACGATTACAAATGAGGTTCAAGTCAAACTTTGTGAAGCAGAAAGGGGGGAAAAAATAAAGATAATGTAAAGCTCAAAGCTGACTTCTATCGCCAGTCAGTAGCCACTGGCCCACTGTATGTGGCAATTGTTTACAAAGAATTGTCCTCAACTTCCAAGTAGACATAAGCCTTTCCTTCATATCCTCTTTATCTTTATTTTCTTGTACTGTTTCACTCTCATTAGTAAGCCTTCATATTTTGTCCATTAATGACTTTGTTGGAATTTTGGGTTGTGTTAACTGCTTTTACGACTTCGATCTTTTTTCTGGACGAGATATACTTTTGTAAGGACAGAGGTGTGGGGTTGGATGGATGAGGGACAGAATTTTCAGGGATAGAATTCTCATTAGTTATAGATCTGATTGGACAAATATATGTGAGATAGAAGATTCGGAGATTTTGAACACCTCATAGAATGAGCACCAGCTTTATTTCTGTTTTTGGTCCACTGTAACATTGTTACAGTTGCTGTGGAATGCATCTAGTTTGACAGGAAACACAGCCATTTATTTGATTTAAGTGGGGTAATGCGGTTAGGCGAATTTTATCTATTAGTTTGACGTTTGATTTTTAAATTGTAGATTTATATATTTTTTCTTTATCATTATACTTTATATCTTTTAGTAAAATCAATTATTTCTTGGTTTTAATTTTTGTTCACGAACTTTTTTAAATTAGTTGAGTGGCTATTTGTTATATTAAAATAACTTTATGTTAATTTAGATAGACTGTCGGGGAAGGAAAAATACATATATTATATGTCGTCGAGTGTTTGAGGAGTGTCGTGCGACACGTGTGTCGTGTCGGACATGGACATGTAGCTCCAGTAAGAACGTTTGTGCACCATAGGTTTGAACTATAGGTTAATTGTGGTACAATTGAAGTTAACAGAACTCAGGTCATATTTGCCAGGTATACGTATGGACATGGACTGTAATAACGTTTCAGCTATATTAATCAATTGGTAGATGGTTCTGTTAAAGCCTTGTAATGGACTAATGCTATTGCATGTATGGTGTCTGCTAGCAGGGATATTGCAACCTTTTGCAGTTCTATTTTTTGATTTTGTATAATTGGACATATCACCAACATGTTGGGAGATACATTGCTGACACGTTGATACCGCAAGATTTAACAAAAACAAATTCACTTTACAATATAATAAATAAAAAATGAAAAAATTAAATAAAAAGTTAATATCATTTTAATCAGTTTGTCTGGACGTGTCCTATTGGTACTTTTTTGGAAAAATTGTTACCGGTGTGTCCGTGTCATGTCGTGTCCATGCTTTCTAGATTTATATACATATCAAATTTGTTTTGGCAAAATGTATTCACAATTCTCAATCTTCATGCTTACGAGTTATTGTGAAATCGTGGTTAATGTTCCTTCTTTAAAATCTGTTTATTTTAGGTTTTGTTAAGTATGTGTCGTAGATAAGTACTTCGTGCAAATCTAGTACCAATTGCTCGACTTGTCTATGCTAGAATGGATAAACCATGGACTGCCACATCATTTATTAGGAAACTTTATGAGAAAGCTAATCAATCTTTACTTTTGTGGAACCAAATTATATAAAATTGTTACATGGAACTTTCCTTTCATATGTTATCCATCTCGAGGTGGATACGTGAATTTCCTCTTACATTCCTTTTGGTTAATGGCAGGAAAACAACCCCTGTAGAGGAAATCTTGACCATTAATATCAAGCCTGGCTGGAAGAAAGGTACTAAGATCACTTTCCAGGAGAAAGGGAATGAGCATCCAAATCAAATACCTTCAGATCTCGTCTTCATTGTTGACGAGAAACCCCATAGAACTTTCACTCGTGATGGGAATGACTTGGTTTTTACGCAAAAAATATCTCTGATGGAAGCATTAACTGGTTGCACAGTACAAGTCACTACATTAGATGGCAGGAATCTAACAATTCCCATCAACAATGTGATCCATACAAATTATGAGGAGGTTGTCCCAAGAGAAGGCATGCCAATTTCAAAAGACCCAACTAAGAAAGGTAATTTGAGAATTAAATTTGACATAAAATTTCCTGCAAGGTTGACATCAAGTCAGAAAGTTGGTATAAAGGAGCTCTTGGGTTCTTGAGGTTAGAATTTCTTTTAATCTTTCACTAAGAGTGTTGTTTAATTTTTCATGATCAGTTCATCCTTTTGGCGTGCTTGAATTTATGGGTTGAAATATGGTGAGGTGCTTCAAATTTATAGATATAGACAACAGTTGGTGTTATCATATTTAAGATTGTGAGACCATATCTTCAGTCACTGGATTGTATAAGATATTTTTTCTCAAGACTAGTTATCAAAGTTATTTCGAGTATAATTTCCAGGTTTCGATTTAGTTTTTTATGTGTACCCTTGCCAGCATGTTAAACCTCACACGTGCATACACACACACATTATATTGATGTTTTCATGTGATGAATGCTCGCATAATCTGATTTTGTGATAATTAGTATAAACTCTAGCCTGTCTTCACGGGGGGCTTTAGGAAGGGCCGCCAGAATGGGCTGTCCTGCACTCTACCGAGGGATTAGCCGGGACTGATGGATTGTGCATTGGCTTGTAAAAACTGAGCTGGCAAGCAGTGCATATTTCTTGTCTTAGGATATTTGAAGTTTCATTCGATATAGCGATCACATTAAATTATTTTAATTGAAGTGCATTTTCATCTCATGGCAGTTGTCAACTAGTAGCTTGATCTAATTAACCTTTTTAGGGGTGGTTTCTTTTTCTTCTTTTTAAGCAAAAACACCATTGAACTCTAAGTGGGGGTTTTGGTTTGGGGGGGCTATTGGATTCTTTGGAAAGTGTTTATATACGATTTGAACTATAAAAAGATAGAAATAATCGTGGGATAAAGGGGTGGATTGGTTGTCTGATTACTTGACCGTGTAGCAACAAGCAAGATACCACCATTACACGGAAAACTCTTTCAAGTACCTATGCGAGTATAGTTTTAACAAGTTTATCCTTCGTGACTTAGTTAAATCAGCTTTCTTGATTCAAAGTGTCTCATAGGTGAACAACCAAAGTCGTCGGTTCTATACTTTGAAAGTTGCTCGATGGTCTTTTAAAATTTGGATAATTTGATGCTATCAACTTGATTCTTTGCTATTTGACCATTGTCCAATGTTATAGCTAGACTTCCTAACCAAAGTCAAAAAGATGGCGTTTATTACAACCCTCCATTGTCTTGGGGCAATCATCATTGTAATAGCATCTTCGTAAAAAAGAAAGAAATATCGAATTAACATTTATCTGACAAGACTTTTAATTTTGATAAAAATCGTATGCTATATTTTCTATCGAATAAAATTCCTTTTACATTCGCTTCAAGTTCTCGTCCTTGTTAATAATTGAACCTCAATAGCTATGATCACTTTTACCGTTTCAACAAACTTTTGGATATAAAATTGCTAACAAATACAAAGTGTGTTAATTAATGGAAAGTTTGAAAATTAAGAAGACGTGAAAAATTGATAGAGATATAAGATTAAGAATCATAATTGCAATTAAAATGTGCAAAAAATAAAAATTATGGTGTGAAAATAATTACCCAATGATAAACCCTCGACCACATGGAAAATTTAAAGTGTAAATGAACATGTGAATATGCAATTGAATTGTGTTCGAGTTTCCATTACTAACCGTCGTGTGCATATGAAAAACCTTCTTCCCGGTTTCGTTGCCGTCCACGAAGTCTTCAGCTCAATCTAAATTTCGCATCTGAATAGTCGGGATTCCATCGAAGCTAAGTATCCAATGTTGCAACTACGTACACAAGAAATGAAGTGGTGTCAGGTAATGCAATGAGGGATCTAAAAACCTCCTCTTCGTGTCCACGAAGTCTTCAGTTCAATCTCAATTTCGCATCTGAACAGTCGGAATTCCATCGAAGCTAAGTATCCAGTGTTGCAGCTACGTATACAAGAAACGAAGTGGTGTCAGGTAATGCAATGATGGACCTAAAAACCTCATCTTCGTGTTGGAAGGGTGTTATTAAAGACGAAAACATAAATTGACGCATTTGCCCTTTGTTATTTTTTCATTTTCCCTGGAATTTAATGACACACCAGACGGATGTTGACGGTAGGGATGTTTTGTACAAAATGTTTGAAAAAGGGGTTTTTATTGCGATTTCTAATAAGTAGGCGAGCATATCGCAAAATGAAACGTTTTCAAGGGGTATTCTGCTATTAATTTTACCTTTTTTGCCCGTTAAAGTTCAACCATAATGATAGGAATTCAAGAATAGTCAATTTAATGCTCTCCTTTAGTACAATTTTTTTTTTTGACACAAATCATTGACACAGTCTCAACGGACTTCTAGGACGACTAGAAATGGTCGATGGAAGTTCAAATTCCCCAACCATATGTATAAAATTAAATTCACCAAAGGCGAAAAAATACAACAAATGAAGAAAAAGAAAAGGAAAGTACTACTTTCAATGCAAAAATATTAAATAAGGGTAACAAGTTGTGCTAGATTAACAGGGCTTGACGTCCCCTTTAAGTGGGAGGTCCCGGATGAATCCACTAACCTCCCAACTATAGGGGCACCAAGTGGCGCCTCTGGATGAACATTGCCAACGTGGCCTTGTTTATCTACAATAATTCAAGGTTAACATCCTATAATAATAGGAAGTCCATATCTGTTAACCTACACAAGGTCCCAAATATGCCATGTTAGGTCAAACAGTCAAAACTCATGATAATAACGCCCTCAGATGCGAGTGAATAGGTAACATGATTCCCTTCATGATAAGTGTGGAAAATATTATCGAGGTCAACTAAGATAAGATGTTTGATCCGTTTGAGGATGATTCGACTCGTCCCGTGGTCCACTCCTAATGATGCAGTGAATGGCCAAGAGTCAGTTTCCACCAAAATATCTAATAAATCGAGTCGTCAAGCAAATGAAATCCTATCCAAAATAGCTCATAGTTCATCTTCCAATATAAGGCAGTCTCCATTAGAAGACGAAATCGCCCTGATACAATGTCTATATTGGTCATGAATAATACCCATCTACTAGCAAATCCATCGTTGAGGCATATATCGGTATTGCTCTCGTGAGATCCCATATTGGAGTATGCTAAAATACCAAAATAGGGGTTGCTAAGGGGGAAAGAGTCAAAGAAACATTAAAAGATTAGGCAATATTTGAGTCCTTACGCCAATGAATAGGCTGAGCAACTCATATGAAGAAATGAAATTATGCGATAGACTCTCTAAATTATCCGTCTAAGCTTCATGCGTATCTTATTGTGCTTGGTGTCGTTTTTCGCAAGCCATAAGAACAAAAATATAAATAGGGAGGATGACTGTGCGAATGTGGCCCTTGCAAACAAACTGACCCGAATATCTCCATCTTTGAGACCGATATCTTACTCTATTCGGCTCTCATAGGTATTTTCCCAAAATGTGGTCATACCTGATCAGAAATGGCGTTGCCCGTGAAAATATGTGAACTAGTCTCGATTTCCAAGCAACACGAATATTGGGGAGGCCATGTGACAGCCAATTCTTATTTGAATGGCCACATCGACCAGTATCAAATCATGTCATGGTCTCCAACGGAAGAAAGAAACTGTAGTAGATATAATGAGGCTCCACATCAATCGATATGAGTTGTGAGGCTTCAACAAGAGCGGACAAGTTGCCACATTGACTTGGTAGCAAAACTACCATTCAACGTATCTTTCAAGAAAATCCGATCACGTGCATCAGCTCAAAGAGATGTAGCTCCAATATGCTCAACCATAGATACAGGAAGAACCTGTAACAATCGTATACTGTCCCATCCTTTAGTACAATATTTTTTGAATAAAATTGCTAGATTTTTAATCCTTATTTAACATGGATTAAAACCATGTTTGGTAGGGAATAAAATCTATATTTAATCTAAATTAAAATCATTATTTTATTTTAATCATATATTTAATGATATCTACAACTTTTTATCACACATTTCATCAATTTTTATCTAAATATACTAAAAATCTGATTTTTAATCTCCACTATATAGGACTTAAACTCAAAATTTTAGTAAATTTTAATACAAAATTGAAGAAATTAATGTTAAAAGTTGTGAATCTTATAAAATACGTGATTAAAATTAATTGTTGATTTTGAATTGAATTAAAATTTAGACTTGATCCCTATCAAACAAAAATTTAACGTTCATTTTCAATTACATAAAAGGAAAAAAATGTACAATTGGTTTATCTGCTATTTATGATATTGTAGTAACTTTTGAAACCCGACATTATAATAACTTAGATTATATTATGTTATCTCCAACTCTATACCAAAATCTAAGGTAAGTTTTGCATCATTTTGCCCCAATTCTTGAACCAAACTAAAAATCATCTTCAACAATTAAATCAAAACTCACACCAAATGAATAGTGTTTAATCATTTTCTTCACTTTTTTTTTTATTCTTAACAGTTTTTTTATTTGAAATTATTTTCTTTATTTATTTTAAAATTAATAGAAACACAACATAAAAAAGAAAACATTAATCATACAATTAAAAAATAGTGCAATGCATTTCGAATTTAGATATTATGATATTACGAAGTTGAAATTAATTGAATATATTAAATCGTGTTTTTTATATTTTCAATTTTTTGTATTCTTATTTTAATTAATTCATTAACTATTATTTTTTACATTATTAACAGGTTATCAATCGATTGTCTAAAATATGTTATCATAAGTCTGTAATTATCTGTAACGTTAGGGCCAAATATTCTTTTTGCATTAATTTTGAATGGCAACGTCCATAGGGATTACTGGCATCAAAATATGAAAGCTTCTGAGTTCTGACCAAAATGTCAAGAAATAAAAGTCTTAAGATGGAGTAAAGTTTGAACCAATGATTTTCACTAATCAATATTTACATAAATAAAATATTTCTTGCCTAGACTCCTTAAATGGAACATGCTCTCTATTTTAAAAGAACTGTGTATAAAAATCGTGAAATCCTCGTTCTACACACTATTTTGCTTGAAATTCAGCTAAACTTATTGGCTACTATACATATTCATCTCAAAGCTGGACTTAACAGTGTGCACTTCTGCAATTAGACTGCACAGAATAATAAGTTTTTGGTTATATCATGCTAAGTAGAGAGCAGCATATGGATTTAAATGAGGGTAAGCCTCATTAACTGCTGCAGAATGAAAATCCAAATATAGGCATTTAAGGCGAATTCATCAGTTTAGAGAATTACAATGTATGGTTTTGTATCCTTAAAATCCCTCTATAAATAAAGTCTAACACACTCCAAAGTAGTAGGTGAATGAGCTCAAACATTACAATCTCTGGCTAATGCATGCTGAGTAGGAACAGAGATACACTCTCAGAAGTTCGTCGAAGCAGAAATAGGAAAATCAGTGAAGAATCACATAATCTATCCCATCAGCCAAAATATTTTGAAAAATAGCATAATGTCCAAGGGCACGTTTGCTACAGGCAGTAAAATATACAATAGACAATACTGTAAAATCTGCCAAACAAGTACCGTGCCACCCGTCAAACAAGTCATAAGTTATTTAGCAATCGAGAATACTTCTGTTAAGGAGCACAGTCAGCAGGGGCAATAGACCACCCAAATTCTGTAGATACATCCTTATATCCCCCGTTAACATGAAATTTTTGTTTCAGTGAAACTAAAGTGCCAGACTCCTCCCCCGGCCACCCTATGAGTTAGATTTGCAATTGACTTACTCCTATCATGTCCATGTTCAGATTTTAGGAGATCTGCAAGCTTTCGCCATTGTTGTAGAATTTATGAGTTCCACAAATCAAATACCCATTCATGGCATATTACTAAATCATATGTGGAATTGAAGTTCAATGTGTCTCATACTTAGTTTTGAGGAGCCTCACATTGTTATATCAATATAACCTCCTGATTCTTCTATACTTCTTCTATTATTTGTGAGAAACTTCAGCGTTCTTCTTAAAGAGAAATGAGTTTTTCCCAAGTTATGGAAAGCTTTGATTCAAGTTGGCAACCTACCCCCAATAACTTATTTCCAAGTCCTGTCTCGGCAATTGCTTGTACTTACTTTGGTCATCAAATACAGAATAGCATAGCTACTGATACATTAATGCACTCAAAGTTCCGACTGGGACCAATTCAAAGAAATATAAGTTGCATTAACTTCGCTAACACCACCGGCAATTTCTTATCATTGAAGACCAAATGCATAATGCAATTCCTCAATCCTTCCATACTTCATTAAGAATTGGCATGATCTATGAAACACTTACGAAATAGGTGTTGGGAGTTGAGGCTAATTCCATTTAATTTGCTCATAGGACCCATGTTGTGAGAAAAATTCACAGACCCTCAATCATATAGAGTTTTAACTCACCAAACACCCCCCTCCCCCACCCCAAAGTATCATAGGAAAAAAACCCTAAGCTTTACCACACCCACCAATTTCTAGTTTAGGAACAATCCACAAAGGGAACAGGAAAAACCAAGATGCTGGGTTTACAATTTTTCTCCCTCAAAACCCTAAGTCATGTACACAAAAGGGAATAAACTACGTTCATTTATAGGAGAAAAATGTTAAATTCTGTGTCACAATTGATTCAATGACACGTTCCCGTGCTTTGGAAACTGCGCAAAAATTTCAAGACCAAATTTTGGCAGCTTTTCCTCTTAAGGAAAGAAATAAAATCCTACCTTTATTTAATTTCTATTTAGAGTCTATGCCTTTGGCACATTTTGAATCCATATCCCAACAGTCTCTATCTTGATGAAAAATAAGTCAAAACTCAATAATATCTTCTACAACTATTTGATCAAGATTCTTGAAATTCGGTAAACTTTGACAATCCCAATACTCAAAACAGAGAATTAACATCTACAATCATTTAGATTTAAAACAAGTTCTAGGAATTTCATCAGCTCATGTTAAACAAACTTGCTAAAACATTGTAAACCCCCTAATTGACTTTCCTGGAGCTCGTCTCAACACAATTCCACCACACTTTGCATCAATGTCAAGCCATTGCTTGTGTTCAAATATGTGGAGTGCTCATGACAACTAGCACATTGCCATGAAGATGTAATACTTAGCGAAATTACCATCACCTATTAGGAGAGACACGCTGGCCGTCTGAGTCCAAGCAGTTACCCAAGCCCGCTTCACCTTTTGAACACTTTTCTTGACCTAACCAGGTTCTATATGTCAGATGGGGTTGGTTTTCATCCCAAAGCTACGTGCAGTCCGGAATGAATCAACACACCATTGACTTCCCAAAAGCTAAAATCAATTCTTCCATCAAAATTCTCCACTTCAACTTAAGTATCTTCTGCTTCAACACCCACTGTTGAAAATTGAGGCTAATTCCCTTTAACTTGCCCATATGATCCTTCATCGAAGAAAAATAATGAGGCAAAAAAATATGAAAGAGAGAAAAGTTTATGGGCTGTCATAGCTTTTCCACTATATGAAATATTTCCATTTAGAGTTTATTCCTTCCTTTTTTTGGCACGTTTTGGATCAATATCCCAACAATAGGATGTTCCCATGTTCAATTCAACAAAAATATTTCATCCATCATCACTATTTACTCATACTTTATGAACTAAAAAGATTATAATTTTTGAAATAATTGGTGTTGAATCAAATTTAACCATATACAGTGTCACTAGGTTATTCTATGATTCAGCAATTCATGCAAGTACACGTTCCTTGAGGGTTGTAAATATGCTCAAGTGAATCAGGATCAATAAAAAATTAGGTATCCAAGGCTCATTCAAGATTTTCTCCGAAGTGAAATAGCAGGTTAAAAAACACAGCAAGTGATCATGTTATCTTTGTTTTCCTCCTTTCATGGACTTATTCAACATTGAGCCTTCTATCCAAAGGCTGAAGCAGCATAGAAAATGAATGAAACTCTAATATGTTTCACAACAGATAATTTTAAACTTATATCTTGATTTGTTGGTTCACATTTATGCTTGGAAAATTGAATCTGGGAATTAGAATTGCTTATTCTTTACAAACCAGCACACAATAATTCATTGTCTACAAATCATTCACTGTTGCTCCATTCGTAGCCCCACACATCATACACTGTATAAAGAAAATAAGCGTGCAAAAACATTATACAACATTAAGAAAGCATTATTCTTCCCAATAAAAATTTGCAGACGGCCAGACAAGTCTCAGTTCATATAGCAAGTAACAATTCACATATAGAAAGTAAAACAGGCAAGCCTGTTTGCACATACACAAACACAAACTAGCCAGATTTTCTCATTCTTGATTCCGTTAGACTAATAATTAAAAAGTGGGAAGATCTTTACCCAAAATTGATGACTTATTAAACATCTTGCTTTTTCTTCCTGAAAACATAAACATCAGTCTCCTCGTATGCGTAGTCCGTGTGCAAATGCTCGTGTGGGATCTTCTCCACCTCGAAAACGGTCCCGCACATTTCCCAGAACAATTTATGAGCCTCCGGCGACCTCAGCTGGTAACCCAATAAAACGACACCGCTATCTGACACTAAACTTTCCATTGCCCTAATTAACGGCGCCACCGTCTCCTCCAAATAAACCACGTCCGTCGCAATTACAAAATCAAAAGGAGGGCCTAATGCCTGAATCTGCTCCTCTTTTGCCCAATACAACTGGGCAGTCTTTAGGGTCTTCTTCAAAACAGGCTTGTTCCTCTTCAAATTGTGCTTTAGGGCTGGCATCACAGGCGCAATGTCTGTAATTACGACGTCGTGCAGACCCAGCAGGTAGAATCCCATGGCGGCTACTCCGCAGCCGGCTCCAAGCTCCACGGCGCGCTTGTTGGTGAAGGTTAGGAGGTCGGCATAAGGGTTGGTGGGGTCCGTATCACTTGCGGCGAATGTTTGTGGGTGCCAGCGTTCGGCGAACTTGACTAGGACCAAGGAGCAGGGCCAGACGGAGGTGCCAACGTGCATCGAGCCGTTATCTTGCTGAATGGAGAGGCGCGTGTCAAGCACCGGCAGCTCGATTACAGGTGAATCTGTGAATTTCATTTTCTTTTATTTTCTTTTCGTTTGGTTGCTGAAAATTTTTCCTTTATGTTAGTGTTTTTGGGTTGGGCCGTTTGCTTAATGGATCGAACTTCGAACTTGTGGATAATTGTACCGTCCACTTTGGTAACAATGAAAATGTTTGCACTAGGTAACTGATTTGTTTGTTAACATATAAAAGTGAATGCCTTCACCTTCACGAGCCAGACCATTCCGTCCCGCCAAATCAACGTAATCCTCGCGGTCGATCGCATCAACATCCATATCTTTATTTTTGCAATTCGACGGATTGGCCACCGGGAATCTTAACACCGGGTTTAGGAGGATTCACCAAAATAGAATGCGGGCCAAACAAATAATATTGAAAATTCAACTTGTTAATCATATTCTGGGTCCTATCTTTGCCACTCAATGTGCTAATCGTTCTTACCATTTCAAATTTGGCCATTGCACCTTCATTTCAGCATTTTCTTGTGGTGTTCATCATTTCCGGGTTATTCCCATCTATTTTCTTCGTTTAAACATTGTAAAATCAATAATATACACTCCTTTTTAAATAAACATATAAAAAAGAAAGAAATAATATAAAAATGAATAAATAACTGCAGCTATAACTCAAATGTAGATGTATACTTATCATATTTTGTGCTATATTTTTTTTCCTTGTGTTTTCCTGTTTTATATTAGATGGACATTGCTTTAATAAAATAAATTGTCTTTTACAAATTTCATAGTATTTTTTAAAGTGAAACCATATTTTTTATAAATTAATATACAAAATTTATATAATTTTAAAATATTATTGATAAACCATATGATTTTCTTTGAAACAGAATGAGTCTATCTCAAAGACGATTAAAAAAATAAACCAAAAAATAATAAATTTCATCAATTCAATTTTTTTGCAATGGTGAGATAATAGCAGTAGAATATTTTTCATATTTTTCCTTTCTCTGATTTAAAATATTCAATGTTGTTCTAACTTCTACGTATTTAATTGCAATGTACTTTTTTAATGCACGTTTTGTAGTTTTTTGTCAATTTTAGGAGAAGGTTGTATACTTTGTGACGTTGCGGAAGATTATAGGAAATATGAACAATCTCACAAATATGAGATAAACTCACGAAAATTCTTATTCAATTCAATAATTTCTGCTTCTAAAGGTTTACAATGCTTTAAATAATAAAACCCTAACAAAATTTGAAAAATAAATAATAAAAAAAACGATATTTTTCCATAAATGGAAAAATTCGGGATTTTAATTTAAATGGAAACTCCTAATATTCAGGATCGT